GGCCAGGAGGCCTCTCGGCTCCGCTGACCCCGAGGCTTCGCGGCTCTGCTGATCCCGGGGCAGTGAGGCCTCTCTGCTCTGTGGCTTCAGGGCTGTTTGGCTTCGCTCTACCGCTTGAAGCCTGAGTATGCAGATTAACCACCATCTTTTAGCTTCTATAATGGAAACATTGTATCTTTTGGAGCTGTTGCTTCAGGAGCTCAGAGCCCCGCAGCTGCAGGCGGGAACCTTGGTTTCCTCTATCGCTGGGGCAACCAAGCATCCTGTTCTCAGCTGCCTGGCTGCCGGCCGCCATCTTGGCTGACAGTTAATTTGCATATACTCACTGATTAGCCAATGAAAAGGGTAGCGGTCGTACGCTAATTACCATGTTTCTCTTTTATTAGTGTAGATTTTAGGAGAAAATTACAGTATTTTAAAAAATGGTAACTGAAAAATTGGTTAACACAAAACAGTTTTTATTCTTCACATTATTTGATTTGATATGATCAAGAAATTTGCCAGGAAGGTGTTTTTTATAAACATTTTATTTTGGAATCATCTTAGATTTACAGAAAAGTTGAAAGATCATACAGATAGTATACATATACCCTTCGCGCAGTTTTCCCTATCATTAGCATCCTACATTACAACAGCACATTTATCAAAATGAAGAAACCAATGTTGGTACATTACTATCAACTAAGCCCAGTTATTATTATTCATCATTTTTCCATATTGTCCATCTGCTATTCCAGGACTCCAGCCAGTATACTACACTACATTTAGTCATCATGTCTCCCCTATCTCCTCTGGTCTGTGACTGTTTTTAGTCTTTGCTTCTTTTCTGTGGTATTGACTGTTTTAAGGAGTACTGATCCAGTATTTTGTAGAATGACCCTGGATTTAAATTTGTCTATATTATGTTGTGACTAAACTAGGGTTACAAGTTTTTGGAAAGAATGTCACAGAGATAAACTGTCCTTCTCATCATATCACTGAGGTGTAAATCTTCATCAGCTGATTAAGGTAGTGTTTACCAGTCTTCTTCACGATGAAGCCACTGTTTTTCCATTTTTACAGTCTATTCTTGTAAGTGACTAAGTCTAGCCCACTCTCAAAAGGGGAGAGGAGGAATTATGCTCTATCTCCTGGAGTAAAGAACATGTGCAAACATTATCTGTAATTCTTTTGTACGGAAGTTTGCCTTTCTTCATCTATGTACATATTTATTTAATCATTTATTTGATATTTATTGTATACTTTGAGTTATAATTCAATACTACATCATTTACTTTGTTGCTCAAATTGTTACAGTGTTGGCCACTCATGCTCTTTCTGCTGGCTCTCATATCCCTTTGATGTACATGATTCCATCTTTTTTGTTTTTTGGAGCATTTCCTTACTTTTTGCTACTATAAGATGCTCTAGTCTAGGCTTATCTTGTGTTTTCCCTCCCCAGCCCTAAATCAGTGTGTCAGCAAGCATTTAATGCAATTTTTTTGGCTCATGTTATGGGATGAGGCAAATTGCTCACTCACTATAAGTAATCATAGTCATATCGAAACTCAGAAAAATAAAAAGATAAACTTCAAATTTATTCAGTTCCAGAAAGTTGTGGGGTTTTTTTTTTAAGTTTAAGTTTTGAGATTTTTCATTCTAACTCTAGTTCCTGATGAGAAAAAGTTCCTTGGATACGTAGTAAAGCAAACCAGTTCCTTTTTCTATAAAAGAAGTATCTCAGAAGTAACACTTTATTTCTGTTCTCACAGGGATATAACAAACCCATCTGTATGGCTCATCAAAATATGTTAGAGAGAAAAAAAATTGTCTACCTCAATTCTCTAGTCTCTCTGTAAGACATAAAGGTAAGCCAACAAAAAACTTGCAAAAAGAATCAGTGTTTGGTACTCTTCAAACTGCTATATCAAATAAACCTCAATTTACTCAAAAATATACCATCTTCAACATGCAAACAAAAATAGTTTGCAAACTCGCTAATAAAATTGAAATATTACATTATATGCATACCAAGCTGAAATATGCGGACAAATCACTGATTCATTAGTAAAGTTGTGAAAACCATGTAATCTGTACAAAGCTGAGTAAAATGGAACAGTTTTTAATGTCAAAAATTGGCTTGGAGTAGCTACAAAATTCTCACTTTTCTCCTTCCAATGAGTTGAGGTTTGGGGACAAAATCATATTCTTTCTCTTTAGTCATTTCCACAGTACAAAACGCAGAAACCTTTTAAGCAGGCACACAGACACCAGTCAATATATAAGCAAACGTATTATGTCTAATAGCCATTTTCTCTATCAGGTTAGAACAGGGGTGGGCAAACTTTTTGACTCGAGGGCCACAATGGGTTCTTAAACTGGACCGGAGGGCCAGAACAAAAGCATGGATGGAGTGTTTGTGTGAACTAATATAAATTCAAAGTAAACATCATTACATAAAAGGGTACGGTCTTTTTTTTTTTTTTTTAGTTTTATTCATTTCAAACGGGCCGTAGTTTGCCCATGGCTGGGTTAGAACCTAAAATGACACCTAACATCTATATATAATTTTAAAGATTTCACTACTTCACCTCAGTTGATCATCACAATCCTAAAAAATAGTAGTGCGTATTATCTTCACTGTCTTTCAGCTCACAGAAGTAAAATGGCTTGTCCAAAATTATACCTTAACTAGTGACCCGGTGCATAGATTCGTGCACATTGAAAGGAAATTAATTAGAAGGTTGCCAGCAGAATGGGACTGGGCAAGATGGGCCAGACACGCCCTGGAGCCAAACTCTCCCATGGTCCCTCCCCGGTATCTGCAGCGTGAGCGGGGTCCCTCCAGCAGGTGGGGGTCCTTTAGCCTGCCCTGCGGGGATTAGGCCAAAACTGGCTTTCCGGCATCCCCCAAGGGGTCCTGGAGTGTGAGAGGGCACTCTGCAAAGTTGCTGTTGTACAGGATGTGGAACGCAAATACAAGTGTGCAGTAAACCAGATTCGGGGCCGACAGTGCCCCAGCAACAACATAACCCACGGCCGAAGGTGGAAAAGGTGGAATCGCACGGCCCGGCGAAGAATCGGGCTCCCTCCTCTCTGGTTTTGGGGTGTATCACCGGAGAACTGCCACTGCCAAGTCACTGCAGCTTGGCAGCTCCTGTGTTGAGCAACTGCTCCCTGGTGGTCAGTGTGCATCATAGTGACCGGTCAGACGGTCGGACACTTAGCATTTTAGCCTTTGATTGATTGATTGATTGATTGATAGATAGATAGATAGATGAAAGAAAGAAGAAAGAAAGATGGAAGGAAGGAAGGAAGGAAGGAAGGAAGGAAGGAAGGAAGGAAGAAAAATGGGCTTAGTAAAATAAATGTATTTCCCAATACCTAACTTATTGCTCTTTCAAAATCACCATTTATTCTATGTGCCATATCAACTCTAAAATATTCTTCCCCTCTCTTCATTGCCTTATAAAGATAAATATAGTTATAAATATAGGAATATGCTTTTACTTTGCTCAAAATGTTCCTTTGAATGATAAAATGAACAACTAAATAAATAGGCATTCCTCAAACTTCTCTGTCCACAAGAGAAGCAAATATACTTTTTATTTCATTAACATTGAGGAAACACAAAGGTGAAGTCTTCCAGATGCTATCATGATAGATCTCAGAGGCCTGTGGGCCTCTACTGGGTTTACCCTAAAAGAACTGGGTAGTCCTCATAGCAGCATTCCTGAACACA